TCCCTCTATTAACATTTTGGAAGCACCTTTCCAGATTATTTTATCTCTGTGTGCAAATCTGCAAGGCGATTGATTTGCCTGTAACATTGAATGAGTAAGAAGGCAACAAAGGAAGGTTTAGAACTTTCTGATACCAGTTTCCTCCACATTTGGGTGATGAAATACATTCACTCTAATAAATTACAGTGTATTGCGAAGATTAAACAATCTCTCGGCCTGCATTCTCTCCTTGCTCTGTTCCATCCTACACACAGCTGCCAGACTAATCCTCCAAAAACACCAATTTTCTCTTGCTACTTTTCAAAAACTAGCTTCCTTGGCTTCCTGCTGTCTAAAAACCAGTTTTAAATGCTTTTTCTTGACATTCAAGGCTCTCTATAATATTGATCTTCCTAAATGTTTCACTCCTCCTAGCTATTTTACCACATCCCATCTGTGTGCTCTTGGGCAAGTTATTCAAAGACCCATCCCCAAAGTCCCAGCAAGATCCTGTGCATCTCTTCCTTGGCTCATTGGCTTACTCTAGCAGTGCTTTGCAAGGCTATTACTGAGTCCTACACCAGCCTCCGGAGCTGCAAATCAGAGGTAATGTTGCTTCTACTTGGTTGCATGGACTGACAGCAGGCAAGGTGATTCTCCAGAAGAAAACTGGGCCCCTCTATAAGAAGTTAGATGGCACCGGCACCGCGGCTCACTAGGCTAATCCTCTGCCTGTGGTGCCGGCACTCAGGATTCTAGTCCTGGTTGGGGCGCTGGTTCTGTCCCGGTTGCTTCTCTTCCAGTCCAGCTCTCTGCTGTGGCCCGGGAAGGCAGTGGAGGATGGCCCAAGTGCTTGGGCCCTGCACCTGCATGGGAGACTAGGGGGAAGCACCTGGCTTCGGATCGCACAGCACACCGGCTGTAGCGGCCATTTTGGGGGTGAACCAATGGAAGGAAGACCTTTCTCTCTCTCTCTCTCTCACTGTGTAATTCTGCCTGTCAAAAGAAGAAGAAGAAGAAGAAGAGGAGGAGGAGGAGGAGGAGGAGGAGGAGGAGGAGGAGGAGGAAGAGGAAGAAGAAGTTAAATGGCAAAACAGAGACCTAGTACAACTACTTTAAAGCACTCTGAACACAATTTAATAAGCATCTGGAAGCCAGTGCTGAGGCATAGTGGGTTAAGCATCTTCCTGTGGCATGCTCTCTCTCTCTCTTACTCTACCTCTCAGATAAATACATGAATCTTTAAAAATAAATATCTATTCCAAAAATGAGGATATCTACAAATTTAGTACCTCATTGGGTCCTTTTCATCACACACAATCCCATAAGAGCATATAAAGCAAATGTATTATGTGTGTAAATATGTATTTTTTTTTTTTGACAGGCAGAGTGGACAGTGAGAGAGAGAGACAGAGAGAAAGGTCTTCCTTTGCCATTGGTTTACCCTCCAATGGCTGGCGCGGCCGGCGTGTTGCAGCCGGCGCACCGCGCTGATCCGATGGCAGGAGCCAGGTACTTATCCTGGTCTCCCACGGGGTGCAGGGCCCAAGCACTTGGGCCATCCTCCACTGCACTCCCTGGCCACAGCAGAGAGCTGGCCTGGAAGAGGGGCAACCAGGACAGAATCCAGCGCCCCGACCGGGACAAGAACCCTGTGTGCCAGCGCAGCAAGGCGGAGGATTAGGCTAGTGAGCCGTGGCGCCGGCCGTAAATATGTATTAATTTAATACATAGAATGCATATCTGAAAGGCAGAGAGATAGAGAAAGCAGACAAAAATCTCCCACTCACTGTTTCACTCCCTGAATGACAATAGCTGGGACCAGGCCAGGCCAAAGCCTGGAGCCTGGAACCCAATCCTGATGCCCCACTTGAGCCTGCTACCTACCAGTGTGCCCATTCACAGAAAGCTGGAAAACTCAGCTGTAGATATTGTCTGTGGGGATAGTGTTAAAAAATTGCATTAAGAATTGCTACCAATCAATCCACTGATCATGCTATGTATAAACACTGTAATTAATATTAGCTCATGGGGCAAGTGCTGTTACATAGCAGGTTAAGCCACTCCCTGTGAGCTGGCATCCCATATGGGCACTGGTTTGAGTCTTGGCTGCTCCACTTCCAATCTAGCTCCCTGTTGATGCACCTGGGAAAGCAACAGAGAATGGCCCAAGTGCTTGGGCCCCTACACTCACATGGGAGATCCAGAATAAGGTCCTAGCTCCTGGCTTTGGTCTGGCCTAGCTCCCGCCATTGTGGCCATCTCAGGGAGTGAACCAGCAGATGGAAGATTCTCTGTCTGTCTCTGTATCTCTCTGTCTCTGTCTCTAACTCTGCCTCTCAAGTAAAATAATTTTTTTAAAAAAATTAGTTCATTTCTTGTAACAAGGGCAATAAAAGCTTCTCTGAATAGATTAACTTCCAAAGAAAGAATGAAGGCAAAAATGTAGCTGCTGTATTTATACCTACTGTGTGACAGGCACTGGTTTAAGTATTTTTAAGTATATATTGTTTCAGCGATTTTCACAATTCTGCAAACCCTTACAGACTCAGAGCTTTTGTTTTTTGCTTAAGGTAGCATAACCTCATGGTGATAGGCTCAGGAGTCAAATCCAGCATGGTTGACACTATGATTACTAAATCTGCTAATATCCATTGATCAGAAAAGGAAGATTGGAGGTCACTAAAAGAGCAGCAAAGCTTGAGTGGGTGTTGTGTTGCATTGAATTAAACTGTTGCTTGGGACTCTCACATCCCATATTGGAGTGCTTGGTTGAGTTGCTGCTATTCTAAAACTTCTGATCCAGCTGCTTATTAATGTGCCTGGGAGGCAATGTGTGATGACCCATGTACTTGGGCTCCTGCCACCCCCATGGGAGATCTGGATGGTGTTCCTGGCTCCTGGCTTCAGCCTGGCTAAACCCCAGCTGTTATGGGTATTTGGGGGGGGGGGGGGTGAACCAGTAGATGTAAGCTCTTTCTATCTCTCTCTTACTCTCCCTTTCATATCAATAAATAAATAAAAATCTTTTAAAAATCAGGAAGTAGTAGAAATATGAAATTGAACATATCTCTCTGAGATTCTTGAGTACCTGGGTGCTATTAGGAAATATTGAAAATGTCTATTTTCAAAAGTGTGGGGAGCAACTCGGACTAGACTAAGTTACTGGAATTAAGACTTATTCTATGCATCTGCTCTCCCACAATATGGCGCTGAGAAGGGAGAAACAGCTTCTACACAGCTGCCTCCAGTTCAACCAATAAACTGTAGGACCTGCTCCTGATTGGAGGAGAACAGCGTACTCAGCGTGTGGGTAGCAGAGTTGGGATTGGTGGAAGAGGACTATAAAGGAGGAGAGAGACAACATGCACCAGGAACATCTAAGGGGAACATCTGAAGGAACACCTGTGCAGCCCCCGAGAGGGCCGGCCGGCCGTGTGCCGCTCCCCCGCGGAAGTGGGGAATGTGGCAGGGGGAACCGCCCTTCCACGGAGGTGGAAGGGACGGTAGCCAACCCGGGAAGAACCAGCAGCAAACCCGGGGAGGGCCGAGCAGACGAAAGAACAGCGCAGGGTCCTGTGTCGTTCCTCCACGAAGACGGGGAGCGACAAAAAGTGTTTTAAAACATTCTTTGGGCTGCACTAGAAGAAAGTGCTGACAATTTGCTAACAGCAAATTGTGTGAGGACCCTTTGGGAACTCAGTGTCTGAGAATTATTTATGAATTAATTTTTTATAAATTTCAAAATATCATAGCTTCCATTTGCATTATACTTTATATATCACAAAGCACACAGGAAAAAAAGATAATGATGAAGAGATTTTGATTCATAGGGAAGGAGGCACAAAAAATGGAATGAAAGGGAAAAACATGTACCTCATCAGTCTTCTTTCTGAAAAAATTAACCTTAAAATGCATTTCTACCACCCAGCTTCTATTTGATATAGTGAAAGATAGGCATGATAAGAGGATGAATTACAGTTCAGAGTTTTGTAAAGCAAACCCTCATTAGAGTGACACTTGAGGTTGTGCTGCTGAGAAAGAGAGAGCCTAACTTGACTTGTGGTTCCTGACAGCCAACCTCACAAACAATTCCATCTGCATGTAAAGTACAGAAAGAACCACAAACCAAACCTCAAAATGGATTCTATGAGAAAATACCCTTAAAAAAATTCCCTTCCTATCAGAAGGTAGACCAAGAGGAAGTTTATCCTCCCACCCACAAATTTGCAAAAGCTTTTGTCTTCAAGTTTTTGCTGTGGTTCAGCATACAGTGAGCACCCTCTTCTCTTGAACGTATTTCTTCCATGGAAAATTCCAGAGAATAAGACGGCAGTCTTCAATGTGCCATGGGCCTCAGGACGACTAAACAGATGGGGAGAGGCACAAAGCAACCTGCTGGTCACCAAGAGGGTATGTAGACACTTGCCACTCTCCTGAATCTTTCAGGGCTCAGTGTTCAGCTAGAGGTTACTTCCGTACGGTAACTGACTGATAATATTGTACACTAACTACTATTCTTAACTCTTTCAAACCAATTTTTGTGACTGAGTTCTTAGGTATGAAGGTATCAATGATTTAAAACTCTTTAGAGATTCCTAGTAAATTTAAATTGCCTGTAACATTCCAATAATAAATTAAGTTTTAATTAAGTGTTTAGTTAAAATGTAGCAATATTAAATATATTCTTAATAAATTATTGCAATCAATGCTCACTTAAGGAAGTAGTATAAAATCCCATTTGAATTAAACAACTTAAATTTTTAGAGGACCAGTTGAGTATTTCCCAGAGAACCTGAAGCAGTGTTTTCTAGAGAGGCTATGAGTGTGCGCCTCAAGTCTGCTTTGTGTAGCATTCACCCTGGAGGTCATGTAATAACTAATGCCAAAGAACAATCCAAATAGAAAGTATTAGCGTGTGCCATCATGCAGCGGCACAGTCTGTCTAAAGATGAGGAAATTGTTTAAATATCAGATCGCCGGCAGGCATCTCGGCCCAGGCCTGTGTGAGGTGAGTCCCAGCTGGGGAGCGATTAGGGAGCCGGGAAGGCGACCTGCGGCGGCCGTTTCGTCTGTCCCCTGGCTGCAATAGTCTTAGCCCCGCGGTGGGACCCGCACAGGGGAACGTGGGCGCGGGACAGGAAGTGCACCAGGGGCACAGGGGATGCCCTGGACCCCAGCGGGGGCGGGGGGCGGGAGCTCTCTCTGCGCCCCAGCCTGCTGCCTTGGAGCCTCGGCCCCCGCCGCACGCCTCTGGAGGGAGGGACGCGCAGAGAAGGGGCTTTGCTAATTGGCAAAGCAGGAAGTGAGCACGAGGAAGAAGCGGTGGAAACGGAGACGGGGAGAAGGAGGAGGAGGTAGAGGAGGAGGAGGAGGTGGAGGTGGAGCAGGGGCGCGCAGAGCTGCCTAGCTTTGCTGGGAGCGCGTTGGAAGAGCAGGATTTTACTGTGGTCCCGCTCTCCTCCCCAGTCCCGGAGGCCGCCCAGCCCGACTCGGGCGCTCGTCTGCCCCCATCCTGCCCCCATGGCTTCTCCGGACGACCCTCTGCGCGCAGGTAAAGTGACACCGCGCTGCGCACCCACCTGGAGCGGGGACCACTGGCCGGGAGCTCGCGAGGCACCCACGGATGCGGCGGGGTGTCGGGGCAGAGCCTCGGTGACCCCAAGGGGTATCCCGAGGGCCACCTGGGCCCCGAGTGGCTGGGCTGGGTGCAGCGGTGGCACCCCCTACTCTGGCCCCCTGGGCGGCTTTTGGTTGGAGCCGTTGCCCCCAGCACTCTCCATGGCCCCTGCTTCTGATTTCCCTACGCGTGCCTGACGCTGTCCTCTGGCTGTGTGGCGACCCCAGCAGCTTCTGTTCCGGGCCCAGGGTGCCAGGTTGAAACAAGCCCCCAGAAAACTCTAACTGAAAGGAGTGTAACAGTGCTGTCTGTGAATCCTCACTCACATTCCTTCTCATTATCTGCTCTTTCTCCTCGATTCTTTTTTCTTTAAACACTTTTGTAAATAGTGGTCCTTGGAGCTATTTTATAAACTAATATTCACAGAACCTAGGGGCTGGTCCCACAGAAGAATTCTGCTGCTCGTGTGGAGGCCTTGGATTTAGAAAATAGGCTCTAGTTTTACCCTTATTTTAAAATACTGAGTGTTTTGTACCTGAGGCCGGACTTTAGATTTTTCTTTAATCTCTCACTTGAATTGAAATCTTCATACTTCACCTTGCAGGAATTCTCTGTCCCCGGTGGCACATAACCTAGGCCGTGAACTCCACAATTTTATTGAACATAAAAGTGAATGAATTATGTATTCCCCAGATTACACTGGTGCTTTGTCTGCTTTTGCTGAGGTTGGAAATGCTAGAGAGAGCCAGATAAAACTGCTGAGATGAATGTGTTCCCTATTGTGTTTCTTGAGCTTAGGCAGGGGGCAGAGCTTGACCCTTCCTTGGTGCTTTGTGGCTTGAGCAGTTAGGAGAAGATAGAACGTGTCGGAGGTGCTCAGTAGATTAAACCAACAGCCAAACTGGCGCTGTGAACGGTGAACGGCCAGGGGGGTTTCCAGGAGCCATCAAAGAAAAATTGAAATTCATCTTCAAGTGGGAATGATAAACATTTATCAACTGGAGATGGACCATACCTAGACTGGACGTCCTTTCCCTCTCCATACCCCCATCTCCCATTGTTTGGAGAAACACAAGGGCACGGAAAGGAGGAAACCCTCTCCCACTCCCCTATCCTCACTTCCATCCCTGGATCTACCTCCTCTTCTAAGAAAGGAATTGACAAGGAGCCAAGAGGTGTTTTAGGCTAGATTTCACTAATAGTGCTCTCAGATTTCATTAAGTGATGATGAGGGGTGGGATTCACAATGATCTTGAGAGAGAGTCATTGAATGGGGATAAATGTGAAATATGCTTGGGCCCCTGATGGGCTGCGGCAAGCAGGGGGAGGTGGGAGGGAGCTAGGAAACACAGCTAGGCAGTGGCATCGGTATATGAAAAGCCCCAGTGAGTTGATCGTTTGATATGGCCACCAGGTGGGCAAACGTAATCTCAGATGTCAGTAACAGCACTCCAGGGTCTGTGATTCCAGTGATGGTGCTTGTAGTCTGCTTGGCCTGGTCAGCTTGGAACCAGTGCATAACCTGGAATAAAGGGACTTTGAAATCCCAGCAGCATCTGTGGAATGATGAGAGAACAGAAGATTTGATGGTAGGAGAGCGTCCTATATAAAGAATCTAGCTCTTTAAAAGGCAGAATGGAAATCTGTGGGTGAACTCTTTATTTATTTATTTTTTTTTTGACAGAGTTAGAGAGAGAGACAGAGAGAAAGGTCTTCCTTCTGTTGGTTCATCCCCCAAATGGCCGCCATGGCCGGAGCTACACCGATCCGAAGCCAGGAGCCAGGTGCTTCTCCTGGTCTCCCATGCGGGTGCAGGGGCCCAAGCACCTGGGCCATCCTCCATTGCCTTCCCGGGCCACAGCAGAGAGCTGGACTGGAAGAAGAGCAACCAGGACTAGAACCCGGCGCCCATATGGGATGCCGGTGCCGCTGGTGGAGGATTAACCAAGTGAACCACGGCGCCAGCTCTGGGTGAACTCTTTAGACAGAGGTAGATTTGAGTGTCCCACAAAGATGAGGGAGACCTCCCCATCACTTGGCAGATGACGTTGAAGAACATATTCAGGCATCTGAAAGATGATCCTAATGTCCATCCCTGCCCTGGGAGTCTATCAATAAAGTGAGAGTTCCTCCCTTTAAACACACACACATACTCAAACACCTCAATTTCTCCTTTCTGACGTTTTACACAGTGTTTGCAATCCTCTGACATCCACGCTTATCTCTTCCATTTCTGCAATAAAACCACAGATGGTGCAGATATGTGAAACCTGTATGGTGGAATTTCTGTGTCTGTGCCCCAGACCATGTTACCAATACTCTCTCACGTCCCAAACACTCACTCTTCTCCCAACGCATTCTCCAGAAAGTAGCCAGAATGATCTTTTGAACACAAGCCTGATGCTGTTACTTCTCTGCTTAGAACCCTGCCCTGACTTTCCAACCCTTCCTGACAAATCCTCAGTCCTTAAATGATTTCTTGCTTATCCCTTCTACCTCCCCACCTCCTGCCCTGTTTAGCACCCCGCTCTCTACAAAGTAGCCACACTGCCTCCTTTTGTTTCCGTGAAAACCCTTGCACCCAACTGCCTCCTGGCCTTTGCACATGTTGTTCATGATACCTGGAATGCCCTCCTCCCTCATTACCCACTACTTACCCCCCAGATTTAAGCTGAAAGGTGACCCAGATCCAGCCCCATGTTGTATACTCTCAGCACATCTTGTACCGTTCCTTGTTGGCATTTGGCACAGTTTCTAGCTATGATTATTTGGCCAATGTCACTCTCCCCCACTAAACTATACACTCCTTGACAGAGTCTGTGTCTGTTTTGCTTGGCATTTATCTCCATAATGCCTGGCACAGGACCTAGCACATGGTAAGCCCTGGATAAAGACTTAACGCTTGAGTGAGTGAATGAGAGATATAAAATTTAACCACATGTGCTCCAAACTATGAGAAAAAAGAAAAGTTCTTCCCACATTGGCACCTTAGAAACTTAACTCATCAAGTTAGGTGTGTAACTGAGTTTATAGTAGTATTCCCTATGCATGAGGAACTCGTTCTGAGATTCACAGTGAATATCTGAAGTCTAGTATAGTAGTGGACCATGTGTGTGTGTGTAAATCCCATGTGTTTTTCTAGACATACATACCTGTAGTAAAGTTAAATTTATAGGGGCTGACATTGTGGCACAACAAGTTAAGCCACCACTTGTAATGTTGGCATCTCATATAAAAGTGCCAGGTTCAAGTCCCATTTGATCTGCTTCATATCCAGCGCCCTGTTAATGCACATAGGGTAGCAGCCGAAAATGATGGGGTTTCTTGAGCCCTTGGCACCCATGTAGGAGACCCCAGTGGAGTTCCTGGCTCCTTGGCTTAGCCTGGCCCAGCCCTGGTTGTTGCAGACATTTGGGGAGTGAATCAGCAGGCTGACAAACTGTGTATGTGTGTCTTTTTCCCTCTGAAACTGCCTTTCAAATAAATAAATATTTTTAAAAAAAGTTTGTAAACTAGGCATAGAAACAATAATAGCTAATAGCAAAATAGAACAATTACAATAGACTGTAATGAAAGTTATTTGAAACTTATGAATTGTTTATTTCTAGAATTTTCCATTCAGTGTTTTTAGACTACTATTGACTGTGGGTAACAGAAATTACAGAAAGCAAAACTGTGGATAAGGCGGGGACTGCTGTACCTTGAAAAATTTAAAACAAAGATGTATGGATATCCATACACATGCAGTAAAGGTGTCTCACCACTCCCTTATGACAGTTAATTTAAGAAAGAAACTTTTTACACTAAGAAAATTCACAAGATTGTTGTGGTCACATGGACCGAAAACAGTCATGCTGGTTGCAGTGGAGCTATCATTTTCTATCTCTCCCACTGAATGAATAAACAACCTGACACCGAATGAGCCAGAGTGGTTCATTCGTGTTCATACAGATATTAAAGACAGACACAAATAACAAGGCTTTGAAGGTCTGAGTTGAGGAGGTGGTACAATTACTTGTTTTGCTGCAATGAGCTAAGGGCCCATGGCCACAGAGTGCAGCAATGCACGCCTGTCCTTTGTTCTGGAGTCTCGGTTGTACTGCACTGAAGGATTGCTCCCTGGAAGCCCTGGTCCTGGCCAGCAGTTTGGGAGAGCCCCTTTAGTGGCAGAGGTGGCAATCTGCCCTCCTCAGCGGCACTGATAGGTTTGGGGGTAGGGTTCTGAGAACTAAAGGCTGAGCCGCTTCCAAGAGCACCCATGTTTGCAAAGCTCAGCCATCCAGTTCTTTTTCCAAACCCATCTCCCTTGCTTTCTCTGTCCTCCCTCTCCCTGTAGGTTTTTCTTTTTACTTTCTTATAATGCTTCTGCCTTCCCTGTTTCTTTTTATTTTTTAAAATATTTATTTTATTTATTTTAAAGGAAAAGTTAAAGAGAGAGAGAGGGAGAGACAGAAAGAAGGAGAGAAATCTCAATCTGTTGGTTTACACCCCAAATGGCCCCAGTGGCCAGGGCTGGGCCAGACCAAAGCCAGAAACAAGAAGATTGTTCCAGGTCTCCCATGTTGGTGCAGGGACCCAAGCACTTGGGCCATCTTTCGCTGCTTTCCCAGGCACATTAGTTGGGCACTGGACAGGAAATGGAGCAGCTGGGATTGGAACAGGCTCCCATATTGGATGCCAGTGTCGGAGGCAGCCCAGTGCTGGCTCCCTCTATGTTTTTTTTTCTCTAATCTGAATCTCATTTTGTGTCCTTCTGTTTCATCTCTCCCTCATCCCCCACTTCCTCTCCTCAGTTTGATCCCGGTCAGTGGACACACTGAGGCTGTCCTCTAGAGAAGTCACTGTAGGAATGCATTTTCTTGATCCCTGGGCCTATTTCAGCCCCGTGACAGAATGGGGTGCTTCCAAAGACAGAGAGGAAGGTCAGTGAAACT